TTACTAGATACTGATTGACAATTTCAGTCTGACTATCTGTTTGTGAATGATATACTGTAGAAAGTTTCAGCTTGATTTTCAGAATTTTATAAACTCTTCTTAAAAGTCAGACACAAACTTGAGTTTTCAGTCTGATACAATTAAGTCTGATACTTTATAATATTAATAGTAATACTCTGTAAATAATCTTATAAGCTTGCATGTGTCAATTCTTCTTGTAATCAGAATTGAGATGAGTTTCTTACTTAATCTATATATAATAATTAAGATTGTGTTGTGCTTCTGTTTTGTCATAAGAGTATTCATGAAATTTATTAAGATATGCTGCCACACACAATAAAGAATTGATAGTGATTTCAGTAGTTCTGATATCTTATCTCTTAATATCTTGATTTATTAATAGATACAATAATTATTCATATAATGATCTGCATTCTGCTGCAATATTAATCAATAATACTGTTTTTTAATTAGAGTTTAAATCTTCTTCTTCTCTGAGTGAATTATTAATAACTGCTTGTGAATTTTCTTGATTAACTGTGCTAATAGAGATGAGTTCTCTTCAGTAAGAATTGTCAGTTGATTTTTATAATATAAAAGATTTTTACTTGTCAGATTTTATAATTTCTTCTTCTGACTAGTCTTTAATTGCAGAAGCTTCAGTAATTCAGTAGTTCAGTTGATTATAATAACTTGATTAACAGCTGTCTGATTTACTTTCTTAATTTTATTCAGCTGTGCTGCAGGTTCTGACTCTTCTGTTATTTGTATTATTTCTCTTAACTGCTTGCTCTTCAGTTTAGTTCTGATTCATGAATTCAAGTATTTCAGTTCAAGCAGAATCTGTACTCTTAGCTTGTCTGTTTTAATTCTTATCTTGAGTTAACTTAATATATCTATCAGTATGTTCTTCTTGAATGATTAATATCTGATCTTGAGATAAAAATATGAAAGAAATTCAGCTTATTAAATCTATCTGATGTTTAGTTTCTTAATTGTTATGAAATACTTCAACATTTAATAATCTGTAAGAATTTGAAATCTCTCTTTCTGCTGCAGTTTCTTCAGTTTGACTCATCACTCTGTTAGAGCATACATCACTGCTAATATTTTCTTATCATATATTTTATAATTTTTTTCTGATTTGCTCATTGAA